CGCTGTAGCATCGCCATTCATCATCATCATCATGTAGCATCATGTGTCATCATCATCGCTCCTTGTTCATCATCATCGCTGTGCGCGTCATCATCATCGCTTCGCATCGCGTGTCATCCTGTAGCATCTGTTCATCATCATCATCACCTCTGTAATCATCGTCATCATCATCGCTGCATCACCAGTCATCATCATCACTGTGCATCATGTCATCATCATCATCACTGTGCATCATGTCATCATCATCACTGTCGCATCATGATGCATCATCATCATGTATCGCATCATGTCATCATCATCATATATCATCATCATCATCACTGTGCATCATCATCATCGCTGTATCATCATCATCATCATCACTGTGCATCGCAATCATCCATCATCACTTTCTATGCATCCTGTCATCATCATCACTGTAACATCTGTCATCATCATCTGTACATCATGTCATCATCATCACTATGCATCACGTCATCATCATCACTGTAGCATCATGTCCATCATCCTTTTCTATCATCCTGTCATCATCATCACTGTGCATCACTGTCATCATCATCACTGTCGCATCGCAATGTCATCATCCACTATGCATCACTGTCATCATCATCACTGTGCATCGTATCATCATCATCGCTTGCATCATGCATCATGATTTTATCATCATCACTATGCATCTGTCATCATCATCACATCATCATCGCCTCATCATCATCATCATCACTTTCATGCATCATCATCATCATCACTGTCATCATCATCACTGTGCATCATCGCTCTGTGCATCATCATCATCACTATGCATCATCATCATCACTGTTGGCGCTTGATCATCATCATCATAGCATCACCAGTCATCATCATCACTCATGCATCTTGTCATCATCATCACTGTGCATCATGTCATCATCATCACTGTAGCATCATGTCATCATCATCACTGTGCATCTGTCATCATCATCATTCACATCCTGTCATCATCATATCACTGTAGCATCATGTCATCATCATCACGCCGCATCATGTCATCATCATCATGCATCGTCATCATCATCACTGTGCATCATATTCATCATCATCACTATGCATCGCGTCATCATCATCACTTTAGCATCATAGTCATCATCACTTTCATGCACTCATATTCATCATCATCACTCTCACTCATCATCATCATCATTCCTGCATCTGTCATCATCATCTTTTCATGCATCGTATTCATCATCATCACTTCATAGCATCGCTGGTCATCATCCTGTGCATCGCAATTCATCATCATCACTGTGCATCGTGTGTTCATCATCATCACTCATGCGCTATAATCTTCATCATCATCGCTGAATCATGTCATCATCATCGCATCATCATCACGCATGTGCATCATCATCATCATCATAGTAGCATCATCATCGTCCACTGTCGCATCATCATCATCATATGCATCATCGCCACTGTAGCATCATCATCATATGCATCATCATCATCACGCTATGCCGCCTTGTCATCATCATCACTGTATATCGCCGTCTTTATCATCCTGTACATCATATCATCATCACAGTGCATCATAGTCATCTATCATCACGCCATAGCATCATAATCATCATCATCACGCTGCATCATGTCATCATCATCACTGTAGCATCGTCATCATCATCACTGTATCATGTCATCATCATCATCATCACTGTCGCATCGCGTGTCATCATCATCCTGTACATCATGTCATCATCACTGTGCATCATGGTCATCATCATCACTGTGCGCATCATATTCATCATCATCGTACGCATCGTCATCTCATCATCATTTTGCATCATGTTTATCATCATCACTGTGGCATCATGTCATCATCATCTCCTGTCATCATGTCATCATCATCATCACTGTAGCATCATGTTCATCATCACATCATCACTGTACATCATGGTCATCATCTTCCACTGTGCATCATCATCATCATCACTGTGCATCATGTCATCATCATCCATAGCATCATGTCATCATCATCATATGCATCATGTCATCATCATCACTATAGCATCACCTTGTCATCATCATCACTGTGCATCATATTCATCATCATCACTATGCATCATATCTTTATCATCACTGTACATCATATCATCATCATCGCATGCATCATCATCACTGTGCGTCATCATCACTGTATATCTGTCATCATCATCATAATATCATCATCTTTCATGCATCATCATCACTCTGCGCATCATAATCATCATCATCACTATGCATCCTGTCATCATCATCGCTGTATCATCATCATCACTGTGCATCATCATCATCATCATCATATACATCACTGTCATCATCACTTTTAGCATCATGTCATCATCATCATCATAATGGCCCTGTCATCATCATCACTCTAGCATCATAGTCATCATCATCACTGTGCATCATGTTCATCATCATCACTGTGTATCTGTCATATCATCTA